TTCACTCAGCAGCAACACGTTTTGCCTGGTGGAAACTTGGCTCAGCGAACACTATTTTTTCCAGCAGCGCATCTCAGACTGACTGACACAGCCAGAGTCGAAGTTGCTAACTGATCCGTGAATCACTGCATCGGCCTCACCAACCACCATGGTTACTGGCGACGTTGTTTGCTTTTTGGGCAATCAGTGACATTGAACTCAATGGGTGACATATGAAAAAAACCAAGACTTTCAACAACAAAAAAGGAATGAGCACGCTCATCGAATCGCTGGTCATCACAGGTCTTAATATCTTCTTGATTCAGACACCACCTGTGGCGCAATGTGGCCGACACTTGAATTTTGGACGCAATGTACGGTTGCGTTGAAAACTCAGGCCAGTACGCCGGCAAAAAGCCAACTCACTTGATTGAACTCATGTAATAGCAATGAACAGCCTCAAGCATGACATTCGAAAGTCTTAAAGACCAAAGAGGCAGCGACCAATATGTTTGCTTCAACTAATCATGAACCAACTAAGTAACTAACTAACTAACAGGGTTCGTTCTGAATTTCTGGATTGATCACGACGGTGAGTCAGTCGATGACGCTGGCCTATATTGTTACAGTTGCCAGCTCAGGACTTGGGCACTGGTGGCATGGGAGTGGCAGCTTTGGTCATCTTTGTGAGCGCCTTTGCAGCAGTTCCAGGGTCGGCAGGCTTTGGGGCGGGCTTCGGAGAAGTCTTGGGAGATGTCCTGGCCTTGGGAGACCCTTTTGGATTGGGTTTTGGAGCTTCCTCCTCACCAGCGGGCTTCTCAGCCTCAGGAGTAGTAGGAGCCAAAGGGTCAGATTCACCACCAAGCCTGAAGCGGCGAGTCCCAAATGTGTCACGCTCAGACTCAACTAACAAACATATGAGTGAATCCCGAATGCGTCACACAAACAACAGAAAAATATGTGACAAAGCGAGTTAGTTGGGATTGAAGGTGCGCCATTCGTTGTTTACTGTGTAGTGTCACTGTGTAGTGTCAGCAACTCTCATAACTTACAGCCCTTTTAGACTGGACATATTTGAGCCTTAGCACGCCTTACCAAAGGCTTGCGCCCTCAAAACTGGTGACGTTGATGCAAAACCACCCGAATCTTGCAATTACAGTGTCTTTCTAAGCCTTTTTAAGCCTTACTAAGGCTTATTAAGGCTTCCTAAGGCTTACTAAGTCATACCAAGGCTTAGAAAAGCTTAAATCTTGCAATCACAGTGTCTTTCTAAGCCTTTTTAAGCCTTACTAAGGCTTACTAAGGCTTTCCAAGGCTTACCAAGGCTTAGAAACGCTTAGAAAGACACCGATACGCTTGGAATATAATGTAAATGTGCGTGTTTCCCAAATTTGCAACTGTGGACCCTTACTGGAGTGCTGTTATCGCAAACTGTTATTCTTGCAAAGGCAAACCCATAAAATTACATCCAAGCTAGGGCACCAAGTATGTGCAGCTGAGTTTCGATGGTTTTGGGGCTGCGGGCGGTACCATGGTCTTGGCACTCTTGTGACCCATGAGAGTCCTCACCCACTTTGGCTTGGGTAGATCCTTCTCGGCCGAGTCAACGTACCAGTCTCCTGCCTTGGCTGAGTAGATCAGGATCCATGTCTTGTACTGTGGAAGTGCCACCTGTTTGCCGTCGAACTGCAAGATCTGGAACCCATCCTCGTTGATGAGGATTGGGCGGTTCGGGTCAGCCGTAGGATCCACACCCGCACCCCAAAAGTCCTAGGTTAAAGCGCACAAATGTGCTCTTGAGAGCAAGCCAAAACTGATCAGAACGTTGAGTCAATATTGAGGGGTCAAGATAAATTATGGCTTGGCAGGAACCTGAATCACTGAGTCAGTGACTGGTGAAGCGACTGGCTTCTTGAGAATGAGCTGAAGAAGACTAAGAAGACGATGAACCACGGTTCGATTCAAGCGAAACAAGTCTTTCAGATAAAAGAAACAATCTAATTCTGATTCACACCCTGAATTCAAATTCTGAATCAATCGCTGAACCTCAGAGATTCGAGATGAACCAATACTGACAGAACAAAAGTAACTACTGTACAACACAGGGCACACAATTCAGCTCAAGCTTCGTCATCATCGCCCTCCCCCTCAGACTGCGGAGCTCCCTTGTCATCATTGTCATCAGGAACGACACCTGCCAGTCCTGGCAACGAGTGCTGTGAGCGGGCAAGTAGAAAGGTAGTTGCGCTAGCTCTAAACCAAATCTACCTCTCCAAAAACTGTAACGTAAGGGAAACAGGTTAAGTATGTATGACTTGTTATCTCCTAAGTAAGTACTCGAATTTGGTTCAGTTCGATCAGTGAAACAATGAACCGGAGTAAGGACGAGTTGCAAAATGTCAACAAAGGGACAACATGATTCATGAACTCAGTCCTGGCACTGCTGCAGACTTCGCAGCAACCCCGACAACTGTCAGCAATGTTTGTTGCTGCTGCTGCTGCTGCTGCTGTCGCTGCTGATGCTCTGCGTAAAGGGTCTCACAATGCAAGAAGTTGCTGTCATTGGATCCATTCCACATGTACTGCTCTCCGTCAATGATTTGAATCTGGTAAAATCCTAGCCCGGGTGAAGGAGGGGCAGTGAGAACCATTGATCCAGATTGAACTCCACTCACAAAGCAATTAAGCAGCCATGTCTGGGCTGATGGGCTGTACTCAACCGTGAACAATGTCGGAGGTCGTTCTGGTACTGGTGTTGCGGGCGCCTGCCCGGGTGTGGTAGGGGCAGGCAATGCGTTCAACCCTGTCACCGGCTGCGGGTGTGCATTGAGTTGCTGCCCCGCATTGAGCTTTTGCACGCACAGATTGAGTGCGTCATCTGGTCCGAGTGGCTGGTTGCTCATTGGATTTCCGAGGCGCGCGTATTCGGCTGTGAGATGCCCCAGCAGCTCGTTCTTGTCGTGACTTGGCTGCAGCGACAGCCCAGTGACTGACAAATATTAATAAGTGGCCGGCTCATCATAGGAAAATGACTTGAAAATTCACAACCCATTTCAAACATTTCAAAGAAGTCGCAAGCCGCCAACCGACTCAATTCAACTCAACTGTGGTCAAACAGGGTAATAACACGATGGATGCCACCTGACCTTGGTCAACATCTTACCTGATTCAATGTAAATTAGTAGTTAGATGGTCAATGAATCGCTGAAGAATCAGGGTAACCTTTTCATTGAGTATCGTTGTGGAACATCACATCACTGACTCACGGCAACGTTGCGTCCAAAGGGCCTGGGAATTCTGTCGGATGGCAAGAGGCCAGTCAGCAAGAACAGGTAGCTGAACAAGTGGTCGCGCGACAGCTTCTGAAGGAAGATCACTGTCAGCAGGGGGTTCACGTGGTTGATCCACTCAACGAGATGGTAGTTCTCAGTCATGTGTGTGCGCCGGGCAAAAAAAAAGGAATGCAGGTGTATCGTAACACAGTCTGCAACACAAGGATCTTTTTCCCAGAATTACAGCTCCTACGGTAGAAGTCGACACCGTCTGTAAAACAAATAACAGACTCGAATGCAAGTTTAACCTGAACTGTTTCCTCAAGCTAGTTACAGTTGCTACAATGACTAGAATGTTCAGCTTTCATAAGTACAAAAATTGGTAGCCATTCAATTCACAAGTTCCAGAGGTGAGTCGATCTATTTCCTGCTCAGTGTCCTGCAGTCAGAGTAACTCTTCGTAAAACCAGTTCAATGCTCAAATTTCATTGATTCGGATTATCAATGAATTGAAGAACCTATAGTCTATCAATGAATGTATGAATGAATGAATGAATGAATGAATGAATGAATGAATGAATGAATGAATGAATGAATGAAAGAAGAATAAACACAAGTAACCTTCAGACTCAAACTTACGACCGAGAATCGGGAACATTGAGAATTGTGGTGTACGCGGATGAGTAGCGCTCCACGATGTGTCGCCTGGGGTTTCCCTTCGGCTGAGGCGGAGCCTTGCGCCTGCCCCCTGACGAAGATGTCCCCAGATTGCTCCTCGGAATGGCATTGGGATCGGGGCCAGGATCGGTACCGGCAAAGATAGATCCAGGCCACCTAAGCTGTTGACCGAGCCGGGCTGATTATTTTTGAAAACTAACTAGTTCAAGCCTGTTTGACGTGGTTGACATTTTTTTTGAATCAATAAATAGTTCATCATTTTCTTAGACTCAAAAGAAACTTTGTGTAACCACAGGACAACACAAAAGAACACTGAACTGAAATGGCCAGCAATGGGGACGAGACACATAACCTTAGGCGTAGCAGGAAGCAGCACTGACTGCATAGAAACTGCTGCATTCAGTTGTGGTGGCGGGGGAGGAACACCTGGTTGAATTGGCACCATGGCTGTGCAGGGTGATGGCGCATTCGGGGTCACGGCCATTGATTGGCCCTGTTGATTAGCCACAGACAGACTGATTGCCCGGGGCGGCGCCATTGCAGCGCAGCCAGAATCTATCACAAAGCCCTGAACACACAACCTGACTTGAGATTGGCAAGCAATGACCGCTCGAACCTGTTCTTATATTGCACAGACATTAGACTAAGCGCACAACGGTCGAAACCTCAGGTTACCTGAATGGGTAGAAGGCAATGGCCCCATGTCACGCAACGTCGCATGTGAGTGATCCATTAATGTGACGTGGCCGATTTGATGCAGGTGTGTATGACTTGATATTATAGTCTAACCAAACTAGTTAGAGTCAACTCACTCACCTGAAGTATTATCATGTCCAATTGAAGAACTGCCAGCTGTTTCTTTTCACCTCACTCGCATCCGTGTGACTCAGTCAGTCACTCAGTGACTCAGTGGTCTTGTTTCATGGGAATCCCTGACTCTCTAATTTATGTACGCATTCTGAACAGAACATGCAAACGCTCAGGTTCTGAGATTCTGTGTTGCGACGACTCTTTGTTTATAACATTCATTATCATGTTGCAAAGTCATTGTTGCAAACAATCAAGACGGAGTCAGAGACACAGCTGTGTCACTACACTTTGGCTTCTTGCTGGCCCATAACACAGCAGAGCCACCATAGTCACCAAGGCTACGTTCGACAAATGCATTGAGTTGCCTGCTATGAGTGAGCTCCTTTTGGAGTCCATGTTTGGCAAAACTTTGGTGAGCATTTGCTTCGCGGTTTCTGGAGTGACCGGCCACCCCAAGGAGGCCAGTTTATCGGTTCCAGTCATGAAGGTCATTGTTTGCCGGTGCAGAAACAACCCATTGTTCCTCCTGTAGGTTGGAACTCTGTGTGATTTAGCTGACCAGGTTCGGCTGAACTCGTACCTGTCACCAAGAAAGTAGATGAGGTTCCCATCCATGGATGGGTCCCCTCCCAACTCCTTGGCGTAGTCCCTGTCAAGAAGCTGGACTAGCTGAGTCTCTCGCTCGTTCAGCATGTAAGCGCAGGAACTCGCTTCCTCAGGTGTCAAGCAGGCCCATTTGGGGTGAGTGAGAGAAATCGATTTAGTCTAAGTAACAAACCAAATGAGAAAAAGTCTGAATACATGTAATTGCAAACCAACCAAGGGTCTGCGTCATAACTGATGCCACGACTCTGGCAAACACCCATGTTGAAATGTGCCTTGATCAGTTTGGGGCTCACCATGTAATCTTGTGGCTCTGTTGCAACACTGCCCTTGAGAACGTCGGTGACCGATTGGTAGACCTCATGCACATCCAACAAAGGTTCAGTCTTGGTTTTGTGGTGGCAGATGATGTATGTCCGGTTTCTCGCGACACCACGATGCCCAACATCAGTAGGACTGACAAATAGCTGGGTGAAGAAGTAGTGGCTTCCGAGCAGATCGTTCACCATGCTCATTTTGATGTCCTTAGTTAGTTGACTCTCTGCTATCAGTTTCCTACGTGTCAGATTCGAAAAAGAAACGGTAACAGTTAATTTGCAGGACCTTGCAGTTGTCAGCTGAGAATAAGTTCAACTTCCTTAGTTTCACATAACTTGACAATCAAAATCAAAAGCCTGACACCTGCCACAGAGAGTCTGGAGTGTTTTCCAGGATGATCAGCGGTGTCCCCAGTAGTTTGTGTTTTTTTGCCCAAACCATGTAGGCAGGTACAAACTTGCCCTCCTCAAACTTTCTCTTTTTGTTGGCTCTTGAATTATCTTGGCAGGGAAGCCCACTGATATCCAAGTCCACGTGTTCCAGTGTGCAGCATGAGTGGCCGTGAGTGAAGCAAAATTGCAACCCCTGAAAATGCGAATTGTTGACACTCCTCAGCTTCGAGTGGAAGGTCCCGTCCGTCACACTACCATGCGGCAACTGTTCCATGATGTCCCCGAACACGTGGGGCTCGTCAGCTGATTCAGAGACCCTCCACGAAGACATCCATCGATGATGGTCATGTAGCACTTGTCGACAAAAGGTATCGATCTCCTAAGCAAGTAATGGCTCAACGACAAGTTTGCATAAAATTGAATTCGAGGGAATCGGGAAGTTCACTATGTGGCTTTTACTGAATGCCGTGTGACACATGTGTCACTTGCTTGCCACAGCCGAGCTCGCGTCACACCAGCACCCACTAGCCACACAGCCACTCAGCCCAAACGTGATTTCCAGAAGGATACTTTAACCAATGATTCAATGGTTCTACCCTCAACCAACATTGGCAAGCGTCATTGCTATTCAAAATTTAGAACCGTGGGATAATTGTTCAGAAGTTCAGTCATGAATCAGTGATTGAAGCATGTTTGCACCAACCCTATTAATGCACTCGGGCTTTTCAATATATGAAGGGTAACCAAGTTGACGCTGACTCAGCATGACCGGCCAAAGCGACGCAATTTGCAAGTCAATCATTCAAGTGACAACGGTTCGAGCTAATGTAACATGTTGATTGACCTGGGTCATTGACTGAACTGACCACGCAGAATACCTTATAACAACTCAAGCCTTAGACCGCAATTGATTCAGTCGTGAGCCTTTGCCGAGGTGCGTGGCAAGACCTGCACTGGATGCTCACATCGAAGTCCACAGCTCCAGAGGCAGAGACGGTTCGCTCAATCAGCGCCATTGCAACTTCTGCAGTGCCAGCGCCAGTGCAACTAGATGACATCGAGCGGGCGTGCTTCAGAAAGGATGCCTGACAAACAGTCAGTTAGGCTCTTACTTCGATGAACCTCAAATGTTTGAAGCTCAACCAGGTTACCAGTTCAGTCTGTTCCTACTGTTATTCAATCTTAGCTGCTGACAATAAATGATTAGTTCGGTTGGTTCACACCGGTTCGCTCCGCTTCAAACATTTTATGTCTCAGAGACTGAGATTAACATCAATTTAAAATATGACTAAGCTTTAGCTCTGTTAGTTGGGTTTGTGACTGGTAACGCAAATTGAGACCTGAGATCAACACTCCGATGTTGTCAAGTAAGCTGATGATAAACAAAGTTTAACTTTATTTGCGGTCACTCAGTCTGGAATAGGCCGGCACTAGACTTGGATTTGACCCGGAGCATATTGAATAACACGCGAAACTTCCATTGATTCATTGATGGGTTTGTCAGTGTGGGAAGCCCAACCTGCATCATGTCCTTTGGAACCATGTCCGCCAGAATCTGCCACGCCAGCCGCAGGCATGCTGCTGCTGCGGCCAGCCGCGGTGCTCTGGGGAAGGAGCCAGATGAGTCCTGAGCGAAAGCAGGCGCTGGGCAGAGATTTTTCAAAGTGATTCGATTCAAGGTTGAGATCACTTCATGAAACTGACGTGAATATGAGTTTATTCAGTTTTCAATCCAATGACCGAATACATTGTACTGTCACTGTAAGCCAAGTTCATTGATAAGTTGTTACTTATCAAAATTGTTGAGAGTTTGTATTGTTACCTGGGTGCTTCACAGACAATATAACTTAGTTAGTTGTTAAAAGTTTGGAACAGTTTGAAACAAACAGCCCAGCGCTTATTGATTGTTCTTAGTGATGCAACGGCCACTGTTGAGCAGCCAAGATTCAGAAAAACTGCTTGTGGCAGACCCGCCAGCAGCAGCCCAAGTTGCATGGCAAGTCTGCTGAGACCCAGGCCAAGCATCATGAGGCATCATAGAGGCGTCGTCTGCGGATTCGGGCCCGCTTTCAGTTTCCAAAGTGGTCACAGTTTCTGTCCAAGACTGCGAGCGCAGCTTATGGAAGTCCAAAGGCGGCGTCGACATTGCACATCATCGAAACATTCGATTAGATTTGAAAATTTGACGCTCGGTCATGTTGAACTTAGGTTGAGGCTGAACATCAGCTAAGTAATACTTTACTAGCTGACACTGACACTGATGAATGCAGCCAGTGTCATACATTGCAATTGGATAAGACGGCAACACTCTAAGACCACTGATGTGCAAACGCAGCTGAAACTTTCACTGAAGCGCTTCTCTTGCTTGAGACAGTGCTATCGGGACAATCTCATCAGAACTTCAAGTCAAGTCTTCAAGTGGCATGAATGAAGCATGGAATCCTGGAATCCTGGAATGCGTACCCGAGTCATACCGTACCCTTGATTCGATTGAATTGAAGCCTTGCGACGTCAATGTCTGAGACTCTGGGTTCCCGGGCTTGCGGGGGTGTGTACGCTCCCACCGCCAATCCAGGAAAGTAGAGGTGCAACAGCTCCACCGGGTCCATGCCGTTGCTGCTGCCGTCAAACATGATCTAGGCACCAGTGATGGCGGTCAGATGCTACCAAGATGTTTTAATTTGGCAGGAACTTTGGTTGAGTCATCCGGAACCCACAGACGCATCTGCCCACCAAGCACACTCTTATCCCAAAAAGTGCTCTGACTTGAGACTTACTTATTACTTCTCTAAGCAACCTTCTCCCTGATCACTACCCCTAGCCGAATGGTTCAATGGTAGCTGGTGTGTTGCCTCAATGAATCAATTCAGACTTGTTCGATTCAGACAATGACAAGGACCAATGTCAGTCACAATTCAATGAATGACCCTCAGTGCCAAAGTGGGCCACCCTTCCCGCCCAACTAAGCTAAAACAAGCTGCGTGGACATGCCGCTGTCCCAGAAGCTCCAGTCGAGCTCGGGCCATGTAGACGACCTGAGTGTTGCCGCTGGCAGGTCGTTGGTCATCATCAAGAACATGCAGCACGAGGACTTCAATTGTGGCTTGGCGCCAACTAAACTAGTTTCAACGAACACTGACAACTGACAGGACCACACTTGAGAGCTGCCGTGGTGGCACTTCAACTATTGTCATGTTGGATTCCTCTGGTTGGCTAATTGCGCACGGCGAATAATCAAGGCAAGCAGCGCAAATCCGGTAAGCCACGCCAGAGTGTCGGTGGTCTGCAGGGCTGATTGCTTTCAGTGCTCGTCCAAGCCACCGCTCCTGGGGAAATGGGCGGTGTTAAACATACTCCTGAAACAGACCTACTGTAGACTAGCTGGGCTACATACTGATATATGAGAATGTCGCTTTTTGATGACACCCCAGAAGGTGGTACAGCAATGAAAGAAATACCAAAAGGAGACCATCAGGTTTTGTTGGTACACGAAATAGACAAGCCTATGTTACATGGTTTCTTACTTCTTTTTGCCGAGTTTGGCAACAGAAGCTCCTCGTGATGCATCAGCAAATCGCACACTTCTGCGCACATGTTCCAGAACTCATTCTGGGGTAACCTCCTTCTTTTCAGGCCCGAAAGGTTGGCCACGGCCGTTGTCACAAGTTCAATGTTGTCATTCAACAACGACGCAAGCTGTGTCAAAAGGTAAAGGCCGAGCGATCGCAGCTTCATCTTAGTATTGTAGAGTGCAGGCGCTGTAGTCCGCATGGATGCTGGTGCATCGAATGTCCACAGAATGAAATCGCAAATGTGGGGATTTTCACCTGCCCCTGTCACCCAGGGCTTGTTTTCATCCATTGAGTCAACAGCCCATGTCAAGGCAATGTGCCTGTGAAAAAAATCAGGAGTCCACGCATGCCACTTTGTTGGGTCAGTGACGACCTCATGCTGCCATGCGCCAGTGAAATCAGGCTTGAGGACAAAGTGCTCGAGTCGCACCCCATTGTTTTGGCAGCGGATTACCTTGTTCCACAACCACTGCAACACACGAGCTGCTCCCTGCTTGCCATGTAGGTTCCCCTGGTAACCGGTGAACATTGCCAGCAGCCATGCTATAAACACCGAAGTGGGCGTTCCAAGCACTGGTGCCTCCCCTCCGCCACCCGCCTGTAGCGGCAAATGCTCAGGCACACGCTGCCCTGGCCACAGTGACCTGTGAGCGTCCTCAATCCTGGACCTTGCATCATTACATCTTGCTCTGAGCTTGTCCACATTTTGCGTTGCAAAAAGCAGCGTTCCGATGTGCAGTCGGTGCCACAAGTGCTGCTTTCCGGGCTGCACCAACACACTGATTGTTGTGCTCGCATCCAAGTTGCATTGCCGCAGTTGAGCCATGCTATTCACCTGTTCAGTCAACACTTCTGCTTGTTGGTCGTGTGGCTCTGAACTGATGCTGTTTGCGGCTGATTTTTCATTGCGTTGCTCTGTGTTTTTGTTTACCACTGGTTAGACATGGTCATGGCACATGAATCAATGAATGGGACCTTGCAACATTGTATGGACAATGGAGGTTACCATGATCACTCATATTTCCAATGTTCAATTGTTCTTTGTAACCCTTGGCAAGGATAAGAAAGAAACCCTTGTTTTCACCAGCCAAAACTTTGTCCTTTGAGCCATCCAGTTCTCAGCAGAGCTTGCCAAGGCTTGCTAAGGCTTAGCAATGCTTACTAAGCCTTGCCAAGGCTTGCTGGCATGTTGACAACTTTGGGCACTTCTCAGGGGGGGGGTGCCAGGGGGGGCTGCTGTGGCAGTTCATGATAAAGGGAAGCCCAAGATAATATCCCCATTTGGGGATCCCCTACTTGTCCCATGAATGCAACGGAAATCAAAGGAAGCCTAGAAATCAAATGGGCCCTGGCCGAGGAGGGCAGCGAGAAGTGTTTACAATTCATTTGAGGATGGGGATGCAGCACGAGTCCCTTTGAACGGACTTTGTGGGGCTCGGAGGAATCGAAAGCACCATGGACTTCCTACATGTGGGTGCCCTTTTCGAGAGTGTCACTTTCCTTAGATTGTAGCCAAAAGAGACTGGTGTAAACACCATTATAGATACAAAGCCCTGGTTGCCCGTAGTTGTTTTCCCCTGGCACTTGGTAGCTGGAAGCACTGGGTATGCGCCAGGTATAACTGGAAGTACAACTGGGGGGGTGTGGGTTTCGATTGAGAGACTCGAGGTGGTGCAACACGTCACGGAGGCCGCCTCAGGCTACATGGTCCGAGGTGCGGGAGTCGAGAAGCCGGTCCAGTGGTTTTGCGTTTGTGTTTTTCTTGTTTAACATTCGTCGTTGGGCGCGGGCGTGTATTTGTGTGTGTGTGTGTATGTTGAATGCTGTTCCAATTGTGTTAACTTGTTCAAAGTTTGATTTTACCGACTGAGCCGAGATTACCCCGAACAGGCCTTACTCCAAGCCCTAGACCTCAGTGGTGTGCTCGTTCCATTTGCGGAAAAAACATAGCGTGCCCCTTTTGCTCCCATGGCCGGAGGTCTGGGCCATACCTACGGGTAGGAACTTGCGGCCTTCCGCCCGCGCAAAGAATCAGTTGGATGACCGCCCGGCGAAGTTGGATGCTCAGCCTTCGAAGGCTCCACTTAGTTTGAGGACTTCCTTTTGGGGGAGGTTGGTTGACGTTTTGCCTAAAGGCCCCCATGAAGCTGCGTCCCGGTGCTTTGTGATGAGTTGGATTTTACCCCACCTTTGGAAAAGGGTTAGAAATGCCCAGCCCCTTCCCCTACAAAGGCGCGGTTGCTAAGATAAGGGACCCGCTGCGGACAACAACTACCCGGGCAGGGTAACAAGAACAACGCCTAATGCGGGCTCCTTCCAATCATATGTCAGCCTAGTGGAATATTTGCTAAATGAAGAGCGCACAAACTGCAACCGGCGCACAATGTAAGAAGAGTGGCGAAGTGTCAACGGAACCCTCAAGGAAACCAAGAGGATTCCCCAAAAGACACATCGTACACATCCTCAAATCACCTGCATGATTGACCAGGGGATAGGTACATGTGATACGCAAGGTAGGGTGTATCAGAAAATCCCAACCCAAACCGAATCTGACGGGATAGACGGTTGGTTCCTGCAATGTATTGCAATCAAATATTGAGATTGGATTCATCAAGTCACTTATTTCTGAGGCGTCCCGGGCAAGGGCACGGAGTTGGTGCCAGTGCTCCCAGGCGAAACCATCATGTAAGTCCTGGTACAGACTTTCTGGTTCCCTGGAATAGTGACTGGACGCAACGAAAATCTTCACAGCCGGGCTGCCAGTTCATTGGCCCCGCGCGGGTTTTTTTCGGTTTTGGGTTTTGAGCGCCCGGCCGCGGCCGGGAGCGAAAGCCAGGTGCGGTGGCGCTGACCAGCGGGGAGGGCGATGGCCTGGCGGAGCCCGGGACCTGAGAAGCGACGGCGCGCGTCGCCTGGGTGCGTCCGAGGTGATTCCAGGTCTGTAGGTTTTGTAGGGAACCGACCCTCTCAAAACGAAAAGGAGAAGGAACCTGGCAAAAAGTTGCTTGTTTGGGCTGGAAAGCTGGAAAAAGTTGTTGGGGAGATTCATCAACTGGACAAAGCGTGATCATGTGGACTCTACATCCCCTGTTTAGGGCCATCTGAAAAGCCAAAGGGTTGGGCGGTGCAGGGAGCGGGATGATGCAAAGATGGGGACTCGTGCTCCATTTCTGGCCACGTCAGGGCTCTCACACTCTTACACTGGGCCTCTGACGTCCCATTGCAAGTAAAGAGTTCCTATTTGCAAAGATAGTGAACATCCAAGCACCTTTTCAATCATAACATCTTTGGTGTCACTTGAATCGGTCGACATTACTGATTCACTGGGCTTACGGCCTGGTCCGCACTGCATGTGATGTGTGTTCTTGTTTGAGAGTAGCCGCGGTGGACTTGATTTTGCTTCCAGCTGGCAAGGCGCACGCCTTAGAAATCAATGTCTTTCCAAGAAGGATAGAGCGACATTCTTAAGTCAAACGCTTAAGGAGATCCTCAGGTTCCCAGTCCAAAGTCCGTTTCCAGGTTCGAGCCTTTGCCGGGGAACCACACCTACCTGGTGCCCTTGAAGTATCAAGTGGCCAAGTTCATCCTCTTCAAGCCGCGGCCTCACGGGCGATGGCTTGGCTGCTTTTCAGTTGCTGAGAGCGTTCTAGGCGAAGGGGGGTAAACAACGGCCCCTCCCTTCGCCTTCAAAGGTTGCCCAAAGGAAATTGTTGGAACAGGTGGGCGCAACCCTTCCATCGCGTGCCCTTCAAGCTTGTTGCCTTTGTAGGGTTTCCAGCAACAAGTCAACGGATCAACATCTGGCCCAGTTATATGCCCGTTACCTTTCGGTGGTGGATTTCAGTGGTGCGGACTCGATTTTTCCCAAACTCCCCTTTCTGCGATGCCCAATGATCAAGTAGGGGGCAACTCATGTTGATATCGCGGAAAGGGTTGTTGTGCACAACCATAACAACTGGCGATATAAGTGGTGCTGTGCTGTTGGTTTACCCCTGGCGAAGGCAAGCAATGGTGTTCTTTACATCCTCTGGTACCTTCTTGGGGTTGTTTGAAGGAGAAACCGAAGGACACCTTTTTGTGTGCGGATTCCCTGTCAAGAGACAAGCCCGACAGAGCGACGCAGAATTGTATGACTGGGGTAGTCTTGCATTGTGTGGGCCCTAGCGGTTTTTCCACTGGCTGAGACTTGGGTCCTTCCCGCCGAGATTTCGGAATCCCTTTGAACGCCATGGGTTTCCGGTGAGGATTTGCTAGGGAAACCAAACCCCCTACTTTTGTCAAGTATATAAACCGCCTGGTTTTTTGGAGCTCCACGTATCCAGTTCTGATCTGCGCCTGTTCCCGCTCGCTCGCTCGCTCGCAAGGCAGCCTGCCCGCGAGCCGGGCCACGAGGCGGCTGGCTCCAAGAACCCCGCAGCGGTTGAGTGGCACCCGGTTGGTTTCTTGTTGGTGGTTTGTTTTTGGGGTATTTTGTTGTTTCCTTTTTGGGGGGTTATTTTTGTTTGGTATTTTCTTGTTTCCTTTCAGGGTTTATTTGGGAGTGATACGACCACGCCACAAACCCACTAAAGTTTGGGAATGATGTCCATCCCCGGCTAAACAGGAGGCATTGACCAGGAAAAAAATGCTTTTTCATGAACCAGCCTGTGTTGGGGAAGTTTCTTAGGAAGGTTGCCGCCCTGAAGGATACATCTTGCCCAGTTTGAATATTACATTTTCCGGCTGATTTAAGCCACACATCAGGGTCTGCCTTTTTGACCCCGCTCGTGAATAATCAGCAGACACCTTGAAGTCTTTATACGCTCACCAAAATGGCGCCTAAATTCCAGGACACAGCTTTGCGATTGCGTCCCGGAGTTTACTGCCGGTTTGCTACGGCGCAAGCTGAGTTGGAACAGGGAGCCCTTGGAGGGGGTTTGTGTGTGTGTGTGTGTGTTTTTTTTAATTCTACGACCCTGAAACGGTTAGTCTCCGTGTTGGGATGGCCTTGACGGACGAGCAACCTAGTGGTGACGGCCATTTTTGCGACAAACCAATGAGCAAAGGAGCAAATGACTGGTTTTGCGGAACCAGCCGGTCGTGGTTGCCCTTAAAACGCCATGCACGAGGAGTTTGTTTTGTCCAGACAGGCCCATTTTGTGTGTTGCGCTGGTCTTCGTTTGAGAGGTTGGGACAGCCCATGGGGCCCATGAAGACTATTCTTCTTTACGTCTAAAAACCTGGGCGGAAGAAATATCAATAGGTCTCTCCAAGCTTCTGAGCCCTTCTCTTGAATCTCACGAATGGGAAACCAGGAGTGGAGGGTCCATCATTTTGAGAAGCAGCCGAAAAAAAAAGGCCTGCGGAAGCCTGGCGGGAGCCCTCATGTCGCTTTAAACCATGGTGCTGGGTACACGCTTGGAGCAGGACTCAAATGAGAGACCCCTTTCGGGGGATGAAGGGAACCGCTTCACTACTTGTATGGGTTGAATCCCATTTAGGACATTATATGTGTGCCATGGGATAAAACGTCCTTTGACTTGCACGGTGTAGGTATAATCATTAGTCATCAACCCTGTAGGAGGGTTTGACAACGGTTAGAGGCTTCCTATCAAGGGCACCACAAACAAGGCCTCTCACAAGAGCCTTAAGAGGTCAATCCAGGGTTTTCGGGACACAGTGAGAGCTGAATGAGAGGCGTGTACGGCATACCTACATATGCTACCCAAAGTTGCCTTGCCCATTCCCCCCCCCCCCCAATAAAAAATAGAAGAACAAAAAGCAGCACAACTACTACCTGTTGCGGCCAAAGACAAGTGGAGTAGGTAAACGTTCTGCCCAAAAGCACTGGGTCTGGCGTGCCCAAGGCACATTCTTGCAGACATGCAATTCCTCTGCGGGCAAAGTATGTTTAAACACCTAGGCCCTGATCAGCTTGGGGAAACAAGCGTGAGGTGTTTTCGCCAAAGGCCATTTAAACAGGTTTAAAGACAACGGGCTGGTTGCCAGAGACGCGTCCGGACCTGGGTTGCCAAGCTGCAGGCCCCTTGGACAGAGGGCGTGATCCAGCAGCTGCCCTCACAGGACAACCGATTTTGCCAGACCCCGAGTGGAATGGAACAGGTGCTTTTTGTGGCGGTGGTTGTGGAAAACTGGGCTTTAGCTTTCTTAGCCGTTTTCTTTGATTCCAAGTCACAGGGATGTGAACCCCACTTTGGTATCACAATAGCAAGCTTTAAATCCCGGTTTGGTATCACAATAGCAAGCTTTAAATCCCGGTTTCTGATATAGGGACCGAACCCGCAACCCGGACCTGGGTTTCTTTCCAATACTTGCCCCTTCGCCACCCCTGCCGCTTAGCGGAATCCAAGCAGGCATTGCAATGAACCCCCCGGCCGTGGATGCCCATGTATGGGCAAGGTGTGTCCGTATCCCGCTCATTCGATGGCCACTGTGGCGCAGATTTTGTTGCACTCACCCTTGATCATCTGCATGGTGTTTGGTGCGGCTCCTGGAGAGGCTGCATTGTAGAGAAGCTTCGCTGCTGTCAATTGCGTCCACTCGGAGCCCTTTCCACAAGGTGCTGATAATTTCCTCGGCACATTGGTGGGAGATCTCCCAACGATTGATGAGTTCAGCAGGGAGGCTACCCAAATTAAGGGGAACCCTGTATCCTAAGAAACCCAGCTACTGGGAATGTCACATGAAGTCATTGTGTTTGTTTGGTTTTTGGCAGATTTCATGTAGAGATTCCTGTGGATTTGTTTCTTAGATGTGTGATGGACGATTGTCACTGTGATTTGGCCCCCTTTTGTCTGTTTGCTTGTGCCAAGGGTGAGCAATCCACAATTGGTTGTCTTGTTGCAGTGGGTGTCCGTTGCCCAATCTAGCAAGTGAGTAGTAACCTAGTTCTAACCTTTATACCTACTTACAGTGTAAAGTGGGCTGTGGCTCAGGGGCTCCCATAACCAAGCAGAGGGTGCCTTTTCCGGGCCTTGCTGAGGCCACATCGTGAAGTTTGTCTCTGGCGCGGCTATGGATAGAGAGGCGCGCAACACGCAGATTGGCTTCGCCAGGTAGGCAGTCAGGAACCCCTGGCTTGTGATAGAGGTCGTTTGTGGAATATTGGAAAGGTTCGGCCATGTGCCGCTTGAGCAGGCAGGCTACTTAGTAAGTGGGTAGTAAAACTGGGGAAAATGAGTGTGACGAGTCTAAGTGGCTCATCACGGTATTATAGTCAGGTTTTCTCACCCTTCCTAAGTAGCCGATGGCTTTGGAGCGGCTAGAAGGAGGTTTACACAGTTTGGCAAGCCTAACCTGGAGGTGTCATGAAGTCGAAACTTGGGAAGAAGAATTCGTTGCGCTCAGAATCCATGCGTGGTCGGGAAAGTCAGGTTTTTAGGTTCCCACTTTCCGTGCATTGCCCTTGGCATCCCCAAGTGATAACCTGGTACATGGGAGTTGTCTATTGGTATCATAGAAAGGGGCGACCATTTCCCTGGAGCATGTGGCGATATCCTGAAAAGGCTAAGAACAGAACTTCTTGGGAACCACGCAAAATGTGGTTGGTGGACATTAACCCCACCTAAATGATGTTTATTAGGTCTCTGATTGAGATTCACACCCGCATTGGACATTGGAAACAGAAGGATACCATTTAGTTGGATGTTGGGGTGGTGGGAATGAGCAATTACCTTTCGGGATTCTCCTTTGGAGGATGTTGCTTTTTGGGTTATTTTTTGGCCCCAAAGATATACCGGGTGACGACTGAGGTGTAAATTGCGCAGCACCTTTGATCTTCTCAAGGATGGTGCATAATTGATGTGTGTTTTCCTACGGCCCCTATTCAACATTCGGAAGATGCACCCAAATACCCTCGTTCCAACAATCATGGAAGTGCCCGCCTCGGCCCAGCCGAGCGCGCAGCGTCTGTGGTTCGACTGCAAACAACAAAGCTAATCAAATAATGATTCAGGCATGGACAGGTTCTGGTGTCGTTGGACCAATGGATGTCAGGCCCAGCCCAGTGTCTAAGAGTCGCCCCTTGGCCCCCTTGGGGCCGAGGCAACAATGGGTAAACGAGGATTGGTTTCCGTTGGTTTTCCTTTGCCGGGGGCCAAGTCTCAACCCGTGCAACGTTATAGATGTTTTTGGAACAATCCTCGAAAGACTGGGATCTCTGTTGAATTTTGTTTACACCTTAGGATTCACAAAAGACGCGCCATTGTGAAGACACTTCTATTTTTTGTGGTAGGGGAAACTGAGAGTGGAAAGGACAAAATCCCGCAACAGCTGGTAGGTTTCATCCATCCCAACTGGTGAGAAGTGGATCTCGTCTATCCATAGTATTGTTGGGTATAAGAGAAAAGGGGGGGGTTATGGTTTTTCATGGGGTTTCATAGAGTTGAACAAGTTTTCACGGGGTTTTTTTAAGGGTTTGTGCAAGCCTTGCGTTGTCCAAGCAACGGTTGTTGTTTACTGTCAATTGAGCGAAGAGAATGACATTGGGTATGTTCGCCACGTTGTCACTATCAAATGGAGATTGCTCATCAAAATCCAATGTCATTGCAAACAACAAACTCTGACCGTGGATCCATGTGCCAGAACAGCAGGACCCCTCAAAGACGCGGTTTTCCTGTTGGTCTTCCTTAAAGCCGCACCAACAAGGGTACCCTCAAATAAAATAAGCACCTGTATAGACATAAATGGGCGTGTCTCAATATCCGGCAACCCCCTCTCCACCCAAAAGCAACACTGGCTGGTTTCTTTTTGGTTTCCTTGAAGCCATCCAAATGGGGCTCCATTTGAGACAGACCCCAAGCAAAAATCCGCTTCCATCGCGAGGAGCCGCTCCACCTGGATGGCTGCGGGCTCAAATCGCTGGAGTGACCGGGTCCTTGGGCACCAGGCCTGGGTTAGACGTAGGATGCATTTCTTATATTTTACCAGGGACTCAAAGGGAAGCAAACAGTAGAAAATACATTCTATAGCTGGGTCTCAGTCTGATCATGCCTTCATCTTCCTTGGAACCTACCAGTCAAATGCAGGTTACGTTTATTAGCCGTACGCTCTAACCAACTGAGCTATGAAACCCTTGTGTACAAGCGTGAAAACAGACGTAAACTTGCAGGCCGAGACTGCGGGCGGCCGTGTGGTTCATAGAAAGGGTTGTGGCCCAAAGGCGGTTGTTAGTCAGACTTGCAGAGACACTGTGTCCGAGCGGCTAAGGAGATGGACTCGAAATCCATTGGGCTCTGCCCGCAGGGGTTCGAATCCCCGCGGTGTCGTATTGCGCCAAAGGCTTAAAGGTTTGAAGAAGGCGGATGGGGACAAGCGTGTGAGCGATGCAAGCAAGTTATGGGGAGAAGTGTGTGCGCGACGCATGCAAGTTGAAAGTATTATGCAAGACGGTGCTGCCCAGAGAGGGTTGCAAGATCTCGCGTGTCCACCTTTGCGGAAGACCTTGGGGGCCGAAGCCAAACCCGGAAAACCGCTGCGCGTCAAACCTGCAACAAGCCAGGAAAAACTGCGTGGAAACCCGCTACAAACGAGCGTGGAAACGCAAGGAAACTGTGAAAACCAACCGTGGGAAGGAAAAGTGCGGAAACCTGCAGGAAACACACAGAAATCCGCGAGAAAGCCGCAGGAAACCCGCAGGAAACCCGCAGGAAACCCGCAGGAAACTTGCAGGAAATTTGCAGGAAACCTATGGAAGACTTGGAAGCCCGGAAAGCCGCGAAACTTGCGTGGAAACCTGCGCGGAAACCCAAAGGAAACCCGCCAAAAACCTTGTAATTGGAATGGGGTTTGCGTGGTACCTTAAAAGCAACATTCAGTCACGGCGGGTTTGGAGAACCCATAGTGAGAAAACCATGACCATGTGGGATTTTGACCTTGGTACATGTATTTCTATGGTTCTCACCAGGGCTTCCACTGCCCACACCTTCCTCAAGGACAACTGGTTGCATAGAACCACAAGATGGCGACTACGTCGGGGTATATGTCATGTTTCTCCATGAGGGTAGTGATTATGGGTTAGTGGCGACCCTTTTAGACCCAAAGACCACCCAACAAAGAGCCGTTAAGGTATTGGGTCTTGGGTCATGTTGGTGTCCTTTGTCAGGGCGGATGTCCAATATTGTGAAGACCCTAGATTTGTTCACCTTGCCTGATGGGAAACCGCAGGAAAGCCAGCGTTTGTTTTTTTGTTTCATGGCTTTTCCCATTTGGACTCATGCTCATATTTGCCGGCAACTTCTTTGTTTTGCGCACCGAGGCATGAACAGCGGCATCCGCGTGGCCAACATGACGGCCTCGGCCTACGATGAGGAGGTGTCCAAAATCAAGGCGGGAGCAGGGCGACCTCCAGCGTGTGAGAAGCGTTTGATTCATTCAGTCTTTGGTCCTGTTGAAATGAAGGAACATGTGCTAACACATGGTCCCCTTGAAAGGTCCACAAAAGTCAACGAAAGAGAGGTGGATGCTTTTCAGTGTGTCAGAGCCCTAATGTGGTTACCAGCTTGTTCAAAACTACACGTTTTGCAGTTTTATCCTGTTGCAGCGTGGCTGGAACTGAATAAGACGTTAAGCCATTTCAAGCCATGGGTCTTGCGCTAATCGGCTTGGTGGCTTGCTCAGGGTTGTCCTTTCAAGACCTCCTCAACAATGGCCGCTTTGAAAGTGTCAGATTCCACGTGGTCGAATATGGGGAGCTGCACATGGATCATTCAACTCCCCGCATTGCAACAAGCTGCGTTTTGGTTTCAAAGGCCCAACGCAGGGCTGGCCCGTTCCATGGGTCCCATGAAAAACTCAAGCAATCGTCGCTTTCACAGGTTGCGACCCAAAAACCGCCTTGCGCTTCAGGGTTGGGCCAACCTCAACAGGTTTCCATTGGTCGAGAAAACGCCATGGATTCTCTAAAGGTGGCTGAAATTGGTGGCGTTACAGCCCCAAGCTGGCAACGGGTTGGTTAGGAGTTAGGATAATCTCGGAAATGTTAGGTTTGGCAACAAAAGCTGACTTTCCAGGGATCCTCCGAGTGGGAACCCAGGAGTAGGTGCCCCCGGTTGATTGTTCATTAGCAGGGTATCCCAAAACGGTGCTGATTCTTTGCAACTCGGGGGAGTTGCACTCCCCGGTGAATCCGAAAGGTGAATCAATTTGGGGTCGACATTGTTTAGGGAGTGCCAATGTGCTGTACGCACCAGCTTAGATGGGTTCTCTAAGCCTAGGCTTCACAATATGCGTTCATTCATGGAGCACAGTTGCCCACCCGAGGGGATAATAGGGATACACAAATGCCATCAACCAACATAGAGTAGCCACTCTACCCCACGTTTCTTTGGGGTAGTGTTTTGGCATAACAGAACTAGCTGCGTGATCCTTAAATCCTTCTTGAACATTAAAGACCAAGAGTACAGGTGCATGAGTTGTCAGTTTGCGCCAAGAGGACACACAGTATTGACCTGTCTGGTTGACAAGCTTCAGTGGCTTTGTCTGGCCAGTCATGTGCAGAATGTTCTTACAGGAGGATCGTTTGTTTTTGTGGACTCTGACGCCTCATGGATGATACAACACGCACCAGTGCCCCATCGGCAGAAATTACATATTTGGCTAGTGTGTGATTGGGTTCATTGAAAACACCCTGAAACGATTGGTACACAAACCCATGCACATGAGTATTGCAAGTAAGCCAACCACGACTGGGATCTCTTCTGAAACCTGTTTTAAGGCATTTTGCGAGGTTCACTAAATGCGGACATGAACCAAACATCTTATTTCTTGTTTGGGCTAGAAGCTGCAGCTCTGCTTCTTGACAACGCCGAAGCAATCCCTAACCTCCAAAGCACCACTCAAAACCACCAAGGCCTATGAAACCCAAGCCATTTGGGGGGTACGCTCGAGAACAACCCGAAACTGAAAGATCGCCGAGCTTTCCCTGGGGACGGAGGGCTCGCCACGTCACCGCGCTCAGGGCCATTTCCGGGCACGGCATAGCTGGATCATGGACTCCTTGTCCGGGCTCGGAGCCTCAAGGGCTCCCAGTGAATGCCGCAACCAAAAGTTGGGGTCCACGCATGGCTCCCATTTATGGGGTCCAGTTCTTCAGTGGTTAGGGTGTTTAAATAGGGGATCCCATAACTGGCTTTGGTGTCCCTTGCGTATCTCAAATCCCTTTTTGCTTGGTGGGTTCGGACCTACTACAAATGATGCACTTGGGGGTTCCCTTTTTCTACAAGGGTCACTGGACAACGAGAGGTTGGTGCCTGTTTCTGCTTCGTTACTCATTGCTCGTTTTTGGGAATACTTGGATGCTGGGCCAAGTTGGTAAGTGGGCGGTTGATGGGCTAGGTTATAAGCTACTTGGGTGGTTTAACGTTTTGTGTATGTTTTTGATTGTTGGGCGTCATTCAAAGGGGGTGTTTGACACAAATGTGTGTGTGTGCGCGTTTGAATTCAAAGGGAATCCAAAAGGAAGCCAATCATTTTTTTTTTGGGGGGGGGGGGTCGAAAATTTGGAGCCAAACTAACCCTTACCAGTGCTGAAACCGAGAGGCTGTTTGGTCAGGCTTCCAACGTGCCCTTTGATGCTTGGGCTGCACAAAGTCCCACACGATTTCTTCCCAGCATACCCAATGATTGATGTAGCCCTCTCTACCAGCAGAGCTGGTCTGAGGAGATACCACCACGGTGACACGTGCCCTTGTTTTGCTCAGCGACTCGGATTTGGTGGATAGGATTTCTAAGTAGGATGGAAGACGGATGGTTGCAATCTTTGGAAGTAAAGTAAGTCGGGGGGCACATAGACAATCTGTATGATTCCGTGAATTCCCTGCCACCCATTTTCGGGGAGCACCTGTTTGCACGCTTGACCATCCGATAAAGGGGCCTGTGGCGGACTTCGCTACATGTTTGCTTTGGGTGGCGTTTCACATCACCTGGTGCTTCTATTTTTGTCTCTGGGGCGATGATTTTCTTGAAGGTCCTGAGTTTCTACTCTTGTGCCGATGGGATTTTTTGGGGCGAGGTAGTAGGGGCTACAGAATCACTGATAGTATACTAGTTGCATCGCAACTAAATGTGGGTTTGACGTACTCCGCAGTAATCTTCTGGGTACTTGTCAAAACAGGTGCAAGACCCAAGCGTTGTCAAAACAGGTGCAAGACCCAACCGTTGCCTTTTCTTTGTAGTTTCCCTTCATGCCAACTTGCAACAGGACCCTCAAAACACCGACACACACCCACACACATTGCCAAGGACGCGTTTCAACGTGAAGGAGTGCGCTCCGCCCACCTTGAGCCACCGCCCCAGCCGAAATCAAATCCTGGTGAAGGATACACGGTGGGGTTCCATTTGGCTTCCCGTTTAACAAAGCTGTACACTCAAAAACACAAGCCTAAGTGTACCGTACAAGCCCAATAAGATAGAATGGGGTCGTGGGGCACTTCAACACAAGTTCATTCATGGTCATAAGGTAGCAATGCGTGTAAGTTTCGTGTAAGTGTTTAGCCTCTCGGATGACATTTTGGCATTGTTGGATATCATACTAACAAGCTGATGTTCAGGGTCCCCGGCATGTTGTTTTTGTCGGATGGGTTTCCTGAAATGAACCAAGGACGGCGAAATCCATTGGGCTGAGTTTAGGAAACCCATCTCTTTTCCTCGGATAATGGACACCTGTCCCATGAGTGGATGATGGACATTGGATCAACCGCCCAAATTGGTCCAGCCATGGCAGGGTCCGATGTTCACTTGCCAAGTTACTTTGCACTTTGGCTTTCTTTTTCGGAGCGTCACCTGGTTCTTGCCAATCTTCGAACGTTGTCCATAGTGTTTGAAGGTTGGAAGCCGGGAACGAGGTCGCTTGATTCATTTCAAGGAGGATGCAATTGGGTGGTTTCACCCCGAGAGGTCTCCGGTTCCATGTTCCCTCGAGACTGAAATTCTGGTTCCCACTGGGCCGTTCGGTCGTATATCATCCATGCACTGGATGTCTTTTGGTACTTGAAATATCAGAGATGGATAGCCACTGCAGGCTGCGGATTTTCCGCAGGCTTGCCCAATGCTCAGCCCATTTGGCACTCTCTCCTCAGTTTCTAGCGGGCAGCGGGGCAAGGGAGCCATTCAGCCACCAGACAGCAACTTGCGCGGCAACCTATGAGACTTCATTGGGGTGCTCTGAGGCAGGGCAAGGGGAGAAACTTGGTTTAGTGTCCGTTGGTTTCCCTGGAGGCCAACTTTTGTTCTTCCGTTCGTGTCGACTGTGAGCTACCTACCGGCGTCTGTCGCATCAGATTGAGATCGAGGCACGGTGACTGTGAACTACAACGTAAAGAGTGAGGCGCTGGGTATGGATCCGTGAGGTTTGGACAAAGTTACTGGTAGTCTTTGGTCCATATGGAGTGACATGAGGGACCCACAAAAACACGAGGACGCACTAATTGTCCAATGTTATCTTGGGACGACGAGTACTTTTGACCAGTATCCCTTGGAGACCTTGCCTTGACCACTGGCCCCAGTAGTCGGCAGCCAAGAATTCGGCTGCAATGGCTCCCCTTGGCTCCGAAACAGCATATGCTGCAACGACCGCGCAGACCCAAACTGTTGTCCCCGGGAATACCAACGCCCCAGATGTTTTTCGTCAGCTTGTCCCAGTTCAGAGGAGCGGATCGTTTGAACACCCCTCCGGTTCCCAACATTAGGCACGGTTCCTTCTGAGCCTCATGGGCATAAGCCCGAGTGAAAGCTGTACCAGCTAGCCAGATGTATTCAGGTTCCGTAGAATCCACCCACACCCACAAAGGTACAACTGTCTGTCGTGCTTCTCTTGTCCTTTACCGTGAACCAATTTAGTACCTTTGAGCCAGGGTCCTCCGAGCCCCGGTGGACGTGTGGAGAAGCGCCCGTCACAAGAAAACTGAGTACGCCCATGGCCCCTAAAAACCCAGTGGTGTCCTTTTCCCCAACGGATTTTGGAGGGCGGTCGTTTTAAGATCGACCGCCAACCGACAGGGTGACCGCTTTTCCATGGCCACCGGGGGTGGGCCAGTTTTAGGGATGTGGAGTGTGACCTCTGGTCTTTTTGTTCAATGGTAGAGGAGCATCCTGTACTTGGGGTGGCAGGGACCTGTTACTTGGAAGCAACTGAGCCCTTTCACAATTTCGGTTGTTCGATTGCGGGAGGTCAGTTGCATAGCAACGTCAAAGTTGATCACTTTGAATCTCCAGACCTCTTCGGTTTGTGTTCATTGGGGCGCTAAGAGTCGAAGGATGAACTTGCTTCCCTGTAAAAGGGATTCGAATCGGGCTTTGTGAGCACCTTTTGGTCGAGGCTTGGAAGGGAAAGCACTGGGAAACCGCTGATCTTGGAATTTCCATGAAGTACCAACCCAGTGCAGGGCATTTGCGCTCCATTT